TAGCCTGCATGGGCTCCTCCTCTGGACTCCCCGCCGCCTCAGCCCTGGCCGTTGTCCTTCAAGGAAGGTCTGGGGGTGCCAGGGGTCCCTGTCTCCCGATGATTCCAGACCTGGAGCCCTTCGAAAAACCTGCTTGCTCGTGAGGTTGAGACTGGTAGCGAGGTCCACCGCTCGGTGTAGATCTCCCGGGGACCCTTGGCCTTCCTGAGTGTCAGGCGTCTGTGGGGAAGGGAGGGGAGCCAGGGGAGCTCTAGGGACCCCTCTGCCCCGATGGGAGTGCCCAGGTCCCGGGGGAGCGGACTGCTGTGCCGGCTGCCCCCTCAGAAGAGGAGAAAGGGTGGAGGGAGAAGGGAGAGGAGAGGTGGGAGCGAGCGGAGTGGATGGAGAGCCATCCAGCGGGTCTGCTCAGAGCAGACCCCAGAGGGTGTTGTCCTGTACACACAGCCCCTTGCGGGGACGGGGCTGAGGCAGGTGGACGGGTCCCTGGATGCAGCACACGCCCCTTCCCAGGGTGTGGGCGGCCCTTTGCAGTGGCTGAAATCCAAGACCCCTGGGATGTGGGGAGGGGCCGGCAGGATGGAAGCCCCAGGCTATGGCCTCTGGGAGGGGCGCCCTGTGCTGCCACCCTGCCGAGCCGTTGGGGCGAGGCACGCCAATGACAGACTGGGGCACAGAGTTGGGAGTCTTGGCCTCTCTTCCAGCCTCCTGCTCCACTCCTGGCCTCTGCTCCCCAGGGAGCTGCCATGGAGAACTGGGGCTGGGCCCCAGGCTTGTGGCCTCTGTAGAAGAGTGACCGTGAGGACTTGGGGATGCAGTGGTGAGACCTGGGCCCTCGGGGCTGAAAGGAATGAGAGGGATGTCCAGCCCCAAGGAGCTCGGGAGGGCCGGTGGCGGGGCTGTCCCCGTCCCACCCCTCCGCCTCCTCTTCCTGGCCACCATCCTCCCTCTGCCTGTGGACCTTGCATCCTTGGCTTGGTGGGGATGGGGCCCCAGGGAGCTGGTGCTGAGGGGGCAGCATGTGGAGGCCGAGACTGGCCACAGCCCCACGGGGTCGAAAGGTGCCGGGCCCTGTGTGGCCCCTAAGCCCCAGCTCTGCCCCAGCCTACCACGGCCTCTTCTGCCCTCCCTCTCCCTGCTCCTCCCTCCGTCTCCCCTCCTCCCC